CCTCCGCCCCCCCCCCACCCCCCTGCACGAATTTTGTGCACTGGGCCTCTAGTCTATACTAATAAAAGGGTAATATGCTAATTAGACTTGATAGACTGGACGTCTTCCCGACATTATTCCAGACATCCTTCCTGACAAAGCCAGGGCCCAGCAAAGCCGCCTGGGGGCCCGGGTGCCTGCAGTCAACCAGAGGGAGGGAACTGGCCTGGGTTCCTGGTGTCTGCGGCCGGCCAGAGGGAGGGAAGCCCGGGTCCCAGGTGCAGGGACTGAGGCAGAGGCAGTTAGGGGTGATCAGGCATGCAGGCAAGTAGTTAGGGGAAATCAGGCAGGCAGGCAAGTTGTTAGGGGTGATCAGGCAGGCAGGCGAGTGGTTAGGAGCCAGTGGTCCTGTATTGCGAGAGGGATGTCTGACTGCCCGTTTAGGCTTGATCTGCAGTGGGATCAGGCCTAAACCGGAAATTGGACATCCCCTGAAAGGTCCCTGATTGTGAGAGGATGCAGGCCAGGCTGAGCGACCCCCCCACCCCGTGCATTAATTTCGTGCACCGGGCCTCTAGTCTAATATATAATCTTCTCTTTCTTTAGGGAGCTTTTACTAAACGCCTTAAATTCGAGTTTTTCTTAGTATGTAATGTGATGTGCTAGTATATAGTATGATGTGCTATTAACACCTTGTGTACTGCTCAGGAGTTTTCTCGTGTTTCGCACGCCATCTGTTGACTGCTCACTAGTGTTCTCATTTTTCATGCGCCATCTGTTATGGACCCTAGATGTCAACACACTGTCTTGTCCACTGTGGGGCGTGGTTATGGTGTTTTGGCCAGGTTTAAGCCTCGGACGAATGAAAGGACAGGGTCCTCTCATTGCCACGTGCAAGTCCCAGCCTCACTGCCAGTGCAAGTCCCAGCACAATGATAGCCAATGGCTGTGGTTGTAAGCTTGAACCTATGGTCCGAACACATAGCCCCACGTGCCTTGTGATAGAGTTTAGGTGCCTGTAGTTGAGTAGGGTTGAGACTCACGAGAATGCTGTAAACAATGTGATCACGCCCCTACTTTGCCTCGTGGCATCTGCTAAAAATAAAGACACGGCTTCTGGGCACCGGCATTGTCTCCTCTTCAGGGAGCAGCGTCCACTGAGACCCAGCTATTATTCCCTTGTCTGTCTTTCCTCAATCCTTTCACCACCCCCACTCAGAGACACCCTTGGCCGTGCTGGCGCGGCACAGTCCACATCGAATGAAGCGATCTCATTGGTGGAAACCGTGCAGGTCAATCTACGAAAAACTATGTAATTGCATGAACCCATAAAGCATTGCAGTTACATTGTATTTTGGTCATTCGAATAGTCTTCGTCTTCAAGTTCCTGGCACTTTTAGAAATGCCCTCTCTCAGAAAAAGGAAGGAAACCAACGAAACTGATACACTTCCGGAAGTATTTAACGATAATTTATCAGATATTCCTAGTGAGATCGAAGATGTGGATGACTGTTTTGACGATTCCGGAGAAGATTCTACTGATTCTACTGACAGTGAAATTATTAGACCTGTAAGGAAGCGCAAGGTGGCGGTGCTTTCAAGTGATTCTGACACTGACGAAGCTACTGATAATTGTTGGTCTGAAATTGACACACCACCATGCTTACAAATGTTTGAAGGTCATGCTGGGGTCACTACATTTCCCTCTCT